GGGAAGTCTCTTTTCATTCATTCTTCTTTGACATTCCTAACCCCTGCTTATCTTGCAAAGAAAACAAATGAAGGTATGTTAGTTCACACTGCGTCTTTGCTTGGTGAAGGATGTCCCCTGTTGCAGGTTTTATATACAGCAAAGCTACTCCCTACCGCTGATCTAACTCAAAAACTGTGTTAGTGGTCACACTGCAAAATAACAAATAAAGAGCAGTATGGCAGGAGGAGGGTAGGAAGCTCAACGCTTTCTAAGAATTTCTAAGAATTTGCCCTGTTTTTCTCTTTTTGGATCTTGGGAGGAGGGGGGGAGGGGGTTACTTATGGAAGAGCACTGAGGGTGTGTGCTATTCAAATGGGATGGTTTTGAGTCCTCATTGCAGGACAGCTGTGCTAGCAGCTGGCAAAGAAGAGAAAATAGAGAGCTGGCTGTCATTTATGTCCCTGAAAGGCCAGCTGGCTGGAAGTAAAAGCTATTTTTCGACAGAGGAGTCTGCTTGCTTAGTATCAGAAGCAGCTGATGTGTCGTAATGAGAAATAAAAACAAAAAAGCTATAGCAGGTGGTTGAAGGGGGGAAAAAGAGTAACAGATTTTCAGTCCAGAAGAGATGGTATATCTTCTAGGCTGACCTCTTCTGATTTTTCTGAACACAAGTATGGATTTTCATTTGGTTATGCTATTCATTGCTATCCTATGTGCCTCTGACATTGTTACTATGCACATTAACTTATGTTTGGCTGAAGTGTTTCTTCCAGAAAAGCATCTGGACTTGATGTGAAGACAACATGAGATGTGAGATCCACTGGTTTCATGTTTCTCCAGAAGAAAATATTTGTATGGGAAGTAGCTTCTCAGTCATCTTCCATAAGCTGCACAGATGGAGATTTTTTAAACTGGGTGACGTTCCCTCAGTGCAGGTTATTGTTCTGCAGATCATGTTCGTTCAGATGATCTTCAATTTACTTACAGTCCTTTGAAGATGTGGACATCAGATGATTAGGTAACGCTGTGGTGCCAGTTTCATCAGTTCCGTTCATAGAAATTAGAAGCTGTTCCTCTTGCTGCTCTTTTGCCCGTGTAAGGGCCTCATTAATCCGTTCTTTGACGTGTTGTTGCACTTGGGGCATGAGTTCAGTTTTTCACCCACAATGGCATACAGCACTGCTTTAAGCATCTGCTTCTCAGGAAGAAACACGTCCTGCTCTGTAGGTATCGCCCTGCCTTAGGTTTGATGGTAACACTTTGACCTCAATAAATCGCCAAGCATTCGCATGTCTGTCTTGTCCTACTGATTATTTTCTACTCCACCAACCTGGTTGGCTCCTTTGAATTCTGTCAGTGATGATTTTTGTTGATTTCCAGATGAAGTAGTGAATAGAACTGAATCCAGATATGATCCCTCTTTTATCCTGTAAGAACTGTTCTTGGTTCAGGGATGATTTCCCACCACCAGCAACCTTCAGAGGTCTGTTGATCTGTCCTTAACTTATATGCCACTCTTCAGATATCCTTCTGATTTTTCAATCAGAATGTTACCGGAGACCAAGCCAGCAGCATTATGAATGCCAGGTTAGCATGATTTGTATGACATGAAGAAAGGGCCCATCTGGCATATTTCCTTTCCCAGAGTCCTTCCTTGGAGGAAAGACTCTCAAATCGTGAACGCTTCTTTCAGCAGCTCTCAGCAACTGAATGCATCTTGCTGTATCTGCTTGCTGCCTTGGGAGGAGAGCCTTGGGAGGAGGCTACTGCCGCTGTAGGAGAAGGGTGGGAAAGGCTCCTTGTGCAGAGCAGCTGTGGTAGGAGGGAGGAGTGGCTAGCCCATAATGGCTTGCAAAGCAGCAGTGGCATTGCAGAAGCCTGCCATATCAATGCATTTCATGTCGCATCAGCAAATGAGAGGTGCCCTCTTTGTAAGAAGACTGTGAGCAAGAACGTGTCTTCAGAAAGAGGAATCTTCAGCCGCAAAAAGAGAAGAGAGACTACGGCTAGAAACAATGAAAGCTTAGGATGTATGAACTTCAGAGAACATATCTGCCAGTTCATGAAAATCAAAAGGATAAAAATGAACCCTGAAGCACCTTCTGATGGCTTGCCAATGAAAAGAGTCCCTGGGAGAGCCTGTAAGGAAAACTGAGGAAAAGAAGAAAAGCCTGAAAAAAGAAAGAAATCTCTGAGCAAATGAGAGAATGGAAATGGATGAAAATGGATGAAAGGTATTGTGAGTGAAGGGTCTTCAATGGCTTGTAGAGAAGGAAGAGTGAAAAGACCAAGTATAACTGTAGTCCATAATGGGGGAGCTCTGAAGTCCCCTTCTAATGTGGCAAGGTGTAATATTTCAGTTCCTAGTCAGAGAAGAACCTGGCAGAGATTATCAAAAGGGATGTTTTGCCATTAACCCTATGGCATGAGATGGTGACATTAAAAGGAAAGGTGGAAGCAATCTCAACGAGATGTGGAGGATGTTGCTGTAAAACTAACAGGTTGGCAGGGGAAGAGGAGAAAAAATAAGAGGTCTTACCTATTGACTTGCTGGTATCAGGTATGTAGCATTGACCAGATGAACAGAGCGTCACGACACTGCAGAGAAATGGACCAAAACTGATTAGCCTAACTGGGAAGAGACTAACTTTCTATATGGGCAAGCGGAGGCAAGAAAGAAACTTAATAAAAACAAAAAGCAGAACAACCTAAACCAAGAAAACCATGCTTCTCACCAAGAGAAGATGTCAGCCACTCCCCCTTGTTATGGAGAGCCTTATCATTAACTTGCCATTTCACTGGATGCACAAAAGGCTGTCCAAAGGAATGATTGGAGAGGTATGCTTGTCTAGTCTGCTAGCTAGACATGTTGCTGTGAGATACTTGCCGTTGACATGCCAGTGCACGATCTGTTCCCTGCGATATCAGCATTGGCTGGCGGTAGATGATTCAGAGGCGTTTATTAGAGTAGACCTTGTCCAGGAGAGGCTGTCGCTGGAGAGAGGCATTAACTGAGGGAAGAGAAGTACTGCAAAAATCAGTATTTTGACAAGTGCACGGTCCAGACAGCCAAAGTCATAGTCACACAGATGTTTACTTACTCAACAAACAGTTCCCTCCATCAGATGGCCAACCCATTCTTGCGTGATCAGGCCTCATGCAGTTCTCTTGCAATTCAGCTGAATTTGAATCACTCATTTTGCACCACTGTAGTGCCAATCCTTATTTGTTAGCAAAATGTTTGTACCCCCTATTCACTGTATAGTTATGTTCCTGGTAGTTTTCAATTTATGTCAAACTTACTGTGCATTACTAAAACTGTAGCAATCGGATGAGAGAACTAAAAAAGGAAGTGAATTAATTTCCTATTTGTAGAGACAACCACCATCTACACGGTTTTCCCAGTGCATTCATAAGTCCCCTGCAGACTTCTTGAACGTCCAAATTCCCTGTGACTAAGATGGCTGTTTGTGCTGGCAAGCGTAAGATTTTCACCTAAAATGGTCGTGGCTATTTTCTTGAGCGATAGCAATGTTAAGTTGCAATTCCTTATATCTTTTTTCTTTCTTTCTTTTTCTTTAAGTAGTCCAGTCCTATCTATTCTGCCATTTGTGTCCACTGGCAATTTTGTGAAGTGGTACTGGCCACCATTTTTCTCAGCCTAATTTGCTTTCTTTCCACATGCTATGCTTGCAAAGCTGCTATATTCAGAAGTCCTCATAAAAAAGAACTGAAACTTTAAATCTTAAGCATGAGAGAAACAGTCTTTGTTTATGCTGAATTTTACTTAAAATAAAAATCACTGATGCAAAAAACATGAGTTGTATTCTTAAGTGTGAACTGACACTATAAGGAGCTTTCTTTGCATCATTCAGTGATGTATCAAATGTTCCCAAACTGTTTGTACAGGAAGATGATAAATTTGCACTTTTTCCACTCTGAGGAGCAGTTGACACCTGAGATGTGATTTTTTTGTTGAGGATTCACAACCATGACCTAACTGTCACCATGATGCCCCTTTTTGAGTCTGGTCACCCCAAAGGAAAAAAAGGAAAGGCAGCAGTGAATAGCAGAGTCTCTGCAGGCCAGTTTGTTTAATGTATATGGTAATGAATTTAGATACAAAAGGATAATAGCATTCTGGCATAAATGCTTTCTGTCTACTTTGTGGCAACTGCTGGGGGTTGATGTTTTCAGGATGTAGCAATTAAATTTTGTACTCATACTTGTTCATCAACTGTGTACTTGTTCATCAGTGACTGATTGTTTGGCTCGCTAAGGCCTGATGTCCTGCTCAGCAAGGAATGACTTTTAAGTCAAATAGAGTTTGATGGCACCACCTGGTGGAAATGCAAAGAGAGTAGTGACACTAAGGATGGGCAGAAGAAATGGAACGAGATTAGGGCAGAGGGTGCTGGCATGAGCAAGGGTGGTTACAGAGGTAGTGAGAGGTTATGGTAACGCTGGAAATACTTGGCTCCAGAAGCCGTTAGCTTTGTATCAAAAGGTGTATGGCATTGTCGACGGTTGCTTTTTTTGAATCTTTCTCAACTTGTAAATTTTGGCCTGTGCTTTCAGTACCGTTTTTATGGTAGCCTGTATTTTGTCCTTCACTTGCACTGTGGCCTCCTGAACCCTGAGCTACCAGGAGGCTGTGGAGAGGAGGACCTGGTGAAGGGACCAAGAAGAAGGAAGCAAACAAGGGGCCAAGTCATGATGATCCTTAATGATTCAAATGAGGATTTCCTTAGAAAAATCAGCTGACTGCAGTATGAGGATACCCATTTCCTGAGTTGGGACTCCAAGGGGAACAAGGGCTAAAATTAAGAAAAGTGTGACTGGAAATGGGCTAGGAAGCCAATGAGATCAAGTCCTAGAGAGGTTTTTTGTCAACTCTAATAGTACTGTGGTGCAAAACAGACAAATGCACCTTTGACCCTCCTCAGACACCTTTCCTCTTGGGCAAAGAACATGTGTTGGTGAAGGTCCTCTGCACCATGAGGTTCAGCAACATGTCCCTAGGAAATGCTGAAGAACCAATTCCTGTATATTTTTACCCGATTCCCCACCCCTGAGTGTTTTTGGCCTTTGGAAATACTATTTGAGGCCTTTCCAGTGGGAATGCTCTTCATTTCCATATGCTCCAGCTATGGCTGTGCTAGGGTCTATGTTGCTCAGCGACTGCCCAGTGCAAAGGGGCTGTCAAAGGCCTGCGGACAAAGGTGATACAAGAGCCTGCTCCAGCTGCCTCTTAGAGAAACAATTGCCTTCTAGTCTGTTCCTAGCTGCTTGGAGCCCTGAAAAATAGTTGAAGTTTTGGCTTAGGGCTTCAAGTAGTTCTTGCATATAAGGAGCTGTTTTGGTAAAATTGCAGGCAAAAGAAATTGCACATAGAACTAGCAGCACATCCCTGTCACTTGAGTGAACTCTCTTATCAGCAGGGGTGTGGAGCCATCTACTGTTCTGCTTTATTAGCTTCATCAATGCCCTTCAGCACGCCCTGCAAATCTTGGTGCATGTTTCTTTGTGTCATGGTGCTGCTGGTTTTAATTTTAATGTAAAAAAGTAGCATTTGTGGCCTAATTGCAAACTTCTTGAGGGAGCTGCAGCTTCTGGCACTCACCTGCATATCCTGGCGTGCAGCTCTGTTTCAGACCCAATGGTTTGCATCTGGACGGTCAGGCTGGAGTTGAATACGGAGCACTGACAAGTACCTACAACTTACCAGAAACTTAAAACCTGGATGGGGTGGAAAAAAGACTGTTCCCGTTACAACTGAAGTTGGTAAGTGGATAATCTCCCTGTTTAGTGAGAAAGCTGTTCCTAGCGTCCTTGCTTGCATTCTCTATCCCATCCACTAAAACTCTGTCTTCAGTGATATAAATATCTTTTTCACAAGCAAACCATTTTCCTGTGTCCAGTAGGAGACATTTTGCAGTATTTTCTGCAGGGAGAAGAATGGTAAATAGGGTATAACTGTTGGTATTTGTGCCTTGAAAATTAACGTAACAAACAAAAGTACACAAGAGCAGTTGGTGGATTTTTTTTTTTCCAACATTGAAACCAATGTATTAACACTAACTCTGCAAAACCCAAGCTCTGAGGCCTAGGTGCGTCTGTGTTTAAAACCAAACTCTTACAGTAATTACCAAGTGAATTAGGAACTTATTATTAGCAATGGCATGAAGTCAGCAGAAGCTGTATGTCTGTAACAAGTTTCAGAAGCTATCTTTTAATAGTTCTAAATTGTTCTTAATTTTAGCTTCAATTACTAGATTTGAATCTCTGAATACTAAATTTAGAAGTCACAGGTTTTCATTGGAGTTCCAGATGCCTTAGAGCTTAATAAATTGAAGTGCAAACAGTGAATCCTTTGAGCAGGGCTGGGTAAGTCCTTAATACAGAAAATATTTCATTCAATACTAAAATGCGGCCATTTCAGAAGCAATATGTAAATGGCCTTTGGCAAAACATAGCACAATACTTTGAGCAATTACTGCAGAATAAAGATGTTATCAGCTAGGAATTGCAAAAGCAAATACGGGTAGAGATAGGGCAGCCTCTTGAATTAGAATTTGACCTGAATAAAGCCAGCAACTGGGTTTTTCTTTGAAAAACTCCTCTATGTTCTTTAACAGTTAGCAGGACTTGCATAGATGGGACTTGTCCCTTTTTTGACAACACAGTGTCCTGCCAGGGCAATGGTTTTATATTACCTGCAAGATGGCAGTATGGCACCTTGCAAAGTGATTGAGGCAAAGTGGAAATGACAGAACTTAACTAATAACCAGTGCATTTGTAAAGAGCTTCTCTATGAAATATAACCTTGAAACTTCAGATAAGACTGACGCATGACTTGAGAGCCACTCCCAGAAAATCCTAAATCCAAAGGAAATAGCTGGATAGCGACTCCCTCTGATACTAGTTTTGAAAATTACAGTTTTCACCACTGAGCAATTTCCAAGCCCAGTGTGATGCTCCGATCGGCTGTTTTCACAATCCTGAAAGTTTGTTGTACAAATTAAACCTCCAGGAGGTCAACAAAAAAAATTCAAAGCTGCCGTGTTGCTTAAAAACAAGGAAACATAAATGCTACGATTTGGGGACTGTGATGCGATATTTGAATGAGTGGGATTAGCAATGACTCTGAAAAAGATACCAATATCGTTATATCTCTCTGTAAGCAGTTTGGCTAAATGTGTCTCTTGCTCATTCTATTTGTAAGTGGAACATGAAGTATAGGTACAAGCCTGCTGAGAAAATCTGAATTCAGATTGTATTAGTTACTCAAACTGTAATCCAGCTGGGAAAAGATTTATGTAAGTGTCAGTGTGATTTTGAAACAGGAAAAAATGTTTCGATAATGAAAAAAAGGAGGCAAAGGTAGCTCACCACCCCTCAAAACCCCAAAACCCTAACCAAACCCAGAAAATACTTGACCTCACTTTTCAGAAAACCAAATACTACTCATCAGATAAATGTAAGAAGGGTGTACTCGAGTGTGTGTGCACGCATTTCTCATGAGTAAATGGTAACTTCCTAGAGTATATTTTTGTATTTGAGAAACCTTTGAGTTTTCAGAGAATGGTAAAACTGGGCTAGCTCAAGGGCTATTACAGTGCCTTGTGGGCACAGTGTGTGTCACATTCCCATTCTCATCCACAGGCTGGTCTCCCTGGTCAGATTATATCTCCTGGGAGGAACTCTGGTCTCTTCTTTGGTGGGTGGGAAACAACTCCAGAATGTGTTCTGATTTTTGCAAGTCAAACACTGCAGTTTTTGGATGTTACGTTCCTTTTCACTTGAAAACAGTGGGATGGAGAGGAAAACTGCGTTGATGAAATTCAACAAGGACAAATGCAAATCCCTGCACTTGGGAAGGAATAACTCAGTGCAATGATGCAGGCTGGGGACTGCCTGGCTGGGGAGCAGCTCTGTGGAAAAGGCCCAGAGGGGCCTCAGCAGCTCAGCATGAGCCTGCAGCATGCCCTGGCAGTGAGGGAGGCCAGCAGCATTAACGGACGCATAACAGCAGCTTTCCAATACCTGTAAGGAGCTTGGCTGGAAGACAGGGCCAGGACCTTCACCGTGGTACACAATGGGAGGACAAGAGACAACAGGCATAAATTGAGAAATGAGAGGTTCCAGCTGGATTTAGAAAAAATAACTCACCGTGAGGACAGTCAAGCATTGGAGCAGGTTGCCCATAGAGGTTTTGCTGTCTCTACCCATGGAGATTTTCAAGCCCCAATGGACTATAGCCCTGAGCAACCAAGTCTAGGTGCAGAGCTGACCATGCTTTGAGCAGAAGGTTGGACTAGAGACCTTCCAAGGTACCATCCAGCTTGAATTATTCCATGATTCTGTGACTTCATTTTTCCTACAAAAGATTAGAACCTGCCATGGCAAGAATCTTTTTGTAAGACACTTAGAGAATCAAGGATCTGTGCTTCAGACAAACATAACTCTAACATATTTTGCCACCCTATTTCCTGCTCAGTTCAGTAATAGTTGTGTTTTTATAGACTAGAAATGATGCATGTGAAGTAGCTGTTGTTTCTGTCTATGCTGTCAGGTTGGCATGCTGCAAACAAAAGTAATTTTTCTTTTTTTTGGAAGCCAAGTCTCCAGAAAGTACATTGGCTCCCACTGCCCTTCTAGTGTTTAGAAGAAAAATAGCTTAGTAATATTTGTAATATTCTTTGCAGGGACCAATGCTCAGAGGCACCTAAGGAATCAGAAGAGTGAAAGTTTCATGAGCTAACTCGGATGAAGTTAGTTGTGTGTCTCCTGTCACTAGGAAGGAAGTTTGCACTGCCACATAGTTCACTGATGACAACATAGCACTGAGAAAAGGAGGAGTGGAAGACAAAGATGACTTGAGTCTACAGCCTCTTTCTCAATCTCATAGGTGAGAAGTTAGCTGCTCATATGGGTCAACATTCCCCCACCCAGGACTCCTGTACTGACTCCATCCTGTTGTGGCAAGTCTTTATGGCAAGACATATGTGTGGCTCTGCGTACTGTCACTTAATGCCAGAACCACTGGTTTTGAACTGTAGTTCAAAACCTTTCTGCCTGTATAGCTGGTAGGGCTTTGACAGTCCTGGCACTGAAGCAGCAGAGTTTAGGGAGCTGTATGAGGAGCAAGAATTCATCCTTTATTTGTGGCAGCTGGAAAGGGTATGAAAGGGTATTTCCCATCCTGATGGACTGGATGCGGTTTTAGTGCTGTATATGGAAAAATCTCTATTGTAAAATAACCAAGAAGTTAGAAAACACCAGTATCCTGCTGCAGAGTTTTTGAAAGAGAAGTGGTATCTTTGAGTAAAGGCTTCAGTTGACTGGAAGTCCAGTGGAGAGACTTAAAGAGACACCAGTGGGCCTTTGGTCCACTGGCAGACTCGAATGGCTCAAAGAATACCTCAAAGAGTGCAATGTATAAAAAGAGCAGAAACCCAGGGAACCACACAGTCTTAGCTGTCACAGATGATGACAGATGTGCTGTGGGGTTGCAGCCCCCACCCAGGCAAGCTCACAGGGTGCAGTACAGTGAGGAGCAGCAGTGCTCATCTCAGTTGCAGCTGAACCCAGTGCTGACAAACTGTTACTGGCTACCCGCTGAGTGCTGACACAGTTCTTGGGGGCTGAAGAGTTTTAAGGGACAATTAGAAGATGCTTCCTGCTAATGCAAACAAAGCAAAAATGATGATTTTGGTTTTCTTAATGGGTTTTCACAGACTTACCACTTCTGCTATGAGGAGGCATCTCTGACAATTCAGCACAAACTAGCTGATGGCTGCAGAGGCCAATGCCTGGAACCCTCCCCCCTCCACCCCCAAACTTTTAATCCCATACAAATGTTCAAAAACTGAACAATAAGACCTTGCACATAATAGCAAATCACATATAAGAACTCCCAAATACTTGGCATAAAAATCAATTATGTCATCTGACATCCTTGAAAGTTTCCCATTTCACAGTGTGGAAGACAGAAAAAAGGAAAGCTGTCAGGAGCACTTGACTTGCAAACAAAGGATTTTTGCAGATGCAGTTTTGTACAGTGCAGCTTGCAGAGGGCCTGGGCCTGTTAAGATGGTTGTGACACTCAGTAGCCAGGCTGTGCTGCCAGATGAGGATGCATCTGGAAGGCATATGTACTCTAATCCCTGGCAGAGTGGCACCTTTTAAATGTTGCTACAGGGAGACGCATCCACTGTTACTAGCCTGGCGCCTTTGCTGGTGGTGTGTAGGATTCCTGTGAAACCATGAGGTCTAGCCCTGAAAATGCTTTCTTTTCCTAGACAGTTAGCAGAAAGCTCTGGGCTTGGGCCTTTAGTTCCAGGAGTGACACACAGGTCATATTTAAATGTGCCCATTACTTTTTGCACTCAGGAACTCACCATGGTCTGAAAAATAAAAGGAAGGTAAAAATAAGCCAAGTGAGATTGCATTGCTCAACCAGCAAGATACCCTATTCAGGCTGACTCTGTGCATATAACTTCTTGTTTTGACTCAAAACACCTTCCTCTTTCTCTGTGCACATCTTAGCAGTTCCTAAAAATACTATCCTCAGGCAGGGAATCACTTGCTTAGGGGTGGGGGAGAGGAGAGAGCTGTCTTAGCTGACTTGCTTAAGCTAACTGAATTTCAAAAAGTAATTTAATGTCAGGTGACACCTATACTACATTTGATCTTAGCCAAGAGGTCTGGAGTCTGACTGTCCACTTATAGTTCAAATTTTGAAGGATGAGTGTATATAATATCTTCATACCTCATACAAAGCCTTTGATGAAGAAGATCCATTATGCTGTAGGCTGTGCTGAATGTTCAGTAGCAAAAAAATTGGAATATTTAATATTAGTTGAATTCTTGCATACGGCAAATTACTCAACCCAGAGGCTCACCTCCAAGCTTCCTTAGAAACATGGTGGTAGTGAGGTGCAGAATGCTAGGGTCTAATCTTTCCACTGATATTGCTAGAACAACTCTTTCATATTGGTCAGAATTGAAAGTGTTTATTCAGATTTGATACATTTGCCCGCTTCCATCAACGATTTTTCTGTATAGAAAAAGGGTAGCACATTTTATAAGTTTGATCCTTGATTCTTCTTTGTGGAGATGATCTCAGCTTTGTAGATGAGAACTGTACGTTTTCCATTTATCTAATTCTAATCTGCAACACCTACAAAATCTCATTTGCCTTTGTAACAGATAATGGCAGGCCCTTTCGAGGGAGGCCTTGGGAAAAGACTGTCAGTTGTCTTGGCTGCTTGACATTTTCCCACCAAAGTCATTTTCATTGCAAGAGTAAAAAGGCTACCTGGAGGCTGAGGAGTGCAGATGGTAAATGTGTCCTCAGGGACATCTGTCAGTTTGAATCGGCTCTAGGTCAGGTCCCAAATCCTTAAGAGTCCCTACTCTGATTACTGCAAGTTGTACGACACTAACTATACTGTTGGCACTAAACACACATTCAGAAATCTTTCTTAATACTAGACATTTTATTAGGTATGAAAGCACAGGTAAAATATTTGTTGCAATCAGTAACCCAAAAATCACTTTCATATGAATATAAAGTCAGTATATAACATTAAAAAAAATATCCCCTGTCTAACAGGCAGCTACCATCTGTACTTAAGGAAGGGTTTACATCTATGTACATTTGTACCACATGTGGATACACACACACACACACACACACACACACACACACTCTCCCCCCCTCCCCAGACAGATACTTTCATGATAAAACTGTTTTCTTTCCTATCCTCAGTGACTAAATTCTTCTCCATCTTCTGTTCTAGGCACAGAGTGCTGTTTTTTCTTCTGTTTTCCCTCTTCCTTTCTCTTGATTCAATTCTAAATTCAGCCTTGACATATTGTACTACTTTTGTTTTTTAAATATTTACTGTTGTGGAATATTTAATGCTTAACAAGAGCCATGCCAGTTATTCACTGAGGTCATAAGTCTTTTCTTATGGGTAATGGAAATCTCTCAGTGGCTGCCAGCCCTGTGGAAGACAGGCTTACACAGATTTCTTCTTCACAGAGCTTTTCAGAGGAAGACAGAGCCATCCTGGTCATTGGTATTTAAGGTTATGTTGCTGTTCACGATGCTTTCTGCATGATTAGTCGAAGAACTGACCTGGTAGCGGTTGCAAGGCCCACAGAAACACATGAATGGACAGTACTTTAAGCAGATATGATAAAGGTATTTCCTGAATTTTTCCCCAGCAAAAGCATAGATAACAGGATTGAGACAACAGTGGCTGAATGCAACAGTTTCAGTCAGGTACATAGCATAGTCCAATGATTTAATTTGGTTGCAACTTACAAATAACTCATAGTGCTTTAAAGTTTCTAGAAAAATCAGCACATTGTAGGGGGACCAAAACAGAAAAAACACAACCACCACAACCAAGATCAATTTTATGGCTCGTGTTTTTTTCTGATTTTTGCAGGATAGCAGGGTTTTGATGATCCCAAAGTAGCAATAGCACATGATACAGACTGGGATAAAAAAGCCTATGGTGTTCAATTCCATATTGCAGAACACCAACCAGATATTCTTAAGCTCATCAGGGTACACAGGAATGCAGTCAGTTTCTAACTTTTGGGTGAACACGAAATGTGGCACTGAAGCTAAAATTGCCATTGCCCATAAGCTACAAGCTATCAGAAAGCCATGGCTCCTTGTTCGGGACTTCAGAGAATATGTTGCACGGACGATAGCTAGGTATCTGTCAATACTGATAACAGTGATAAAAAACATGCCCCCAAAGAAACCAATATAATACAGCGAGGAAACAACTTTGCATGAGATCGTCCCGAGGGTCCATCCATGCACCACGCTGGAAGCCCAGAAGGGAAGGGAGATCACAAAGAGAAGGTCTGAGGCTGCCAAGTTCAGGAGATAAATGTCAGTAATGCTCTTTTTACTGCCTTCTTTCACAATGGCAAAAACCACCAGTAGATTCCCTATGAGGCCAAAGGCAAATACTGCAATGTAAAATACTGGCAGAAATACTTTCCCAAATTCCTGGATGTTGATTTTGTTGCAGAGAAAAGCATATTCATCATACGCAAATTCAGTTGTCGCTTCTGGGAATGCTTCCGTCATGCTGAATTTTCTGGCCAGAGGGAAGATGAAAAGGGAAAAAAGAATGTTAGAGAGAGATCTGGCATCTGCTATGGCAGAATACTGAGAAACCTCACCAACACAAACACTTTGGGGTTATGTCACTATATGATTTTGCGAGACTTGTATTACTGCAGAGGTTATGGTAGTTTCTCGTAGACATCTAGACTCTTCTGACATGCATACTTCACTGAAAATTATTCTTTATTTTAAGAAAAAATAAATGAGAATTGTAAATTTGTCAGATTTGTCAGATTGGCCCTTTCTTATCAGAGGAGCAGCAGAAGTAGCAGCAAGCTGACATCAGACTAACTCTGTAGGTGGTACTGTGAGAAATGCACTGTGAGAAATGCAAACAATCTC